GGTGAAAAAAAATATTTCTTCTGAGGCTCAAGTGAAACAAGAAGACTATTTCAATCAGGCAGATTTCTTTTGAGAAGAGGTTGTTTTTATTTTTGGATTTTTTTGGTAGGCTTTGAATTGTTCCCTTTTTTCAATTGTTTATTTCCTTTCTCCCTTTTTAACTTAGCAATTCATTGGTTTTCAGGCAATCAACAGTAACAAACTATTGATAATGATTCTGATAAATAGAGGTTATTATCAATCTATTAGGGAAGTGAAATATTGTTTCCAAAATCTGACTTAGAATACTTTTGTATAAATATGAGTTAGTCACTTTGTGAAAGTCTGTAAAATATAGTAAATTCATTTTCAATTTTTCAATAAAGACATGCCATTGTGGCATAATTGTAGGTTAAAAAAAAAAAAATAAAATAAAAAATGTACTTATTCTTAGCTAAGTCAATTACTTTGTTTCTGTCTTTATTAAGTGTTCTTTACAAGAGGTGTTCTCTTTTTTTAGTATAGATATATGTATTTATTATTAGTTATTTGAATTATATAAGATGTTATAGATTAGTAATAGACTTATTAGTTTAGTTCACAATAGTATAAATAGTATGAGTATAGGTTTATACTATCACTTGGATTTGAATAATTGACTAATATGCTTGTTACCAAATATTTCTTTATGGTTGAGTATATATTTCTTCTTTATTTAATTGTGAAAGTAAAATAATATTGTTGTTTTGATTTTTTCTGGATTGTATATTAAAACTTTATGTTCTCCTCAGTTTTAATAGTTTGATTATAAGTATATTTCTTTTGGATTGTCAAAAATTGATCATATTATTCTTTTTTTTGTCTGTATTATATCATGTGAGTCTTCTTTTAATAAATAGTTTAATATTTTTTCTTGTTTGTTCTCTTATGTCTTGTTTATTTATTGTGATTTTGTCACTAATTAAGCTGTTTATTTTCTTTAATATAGTTGTTGTGTCATAATTAATAGAAATATTTTAATACAATCTAGGATAAAAAAAAATCAACTTTTTATTTTGTAGATTACATATTAGTTATAACAAAGAAGAAATAAAAATAAGAACTGCATGGATCCAGATAAGAAACACTGAAGGAAAAACAGATTTCAAACAAAAGTAGATAATTGATATTTTTTATAAAGATTAAGTTGATAGTAATTCTAGTTATACTTCTATTAGTTTTTATTAATAATATGGTTATGATTTATACAGATAGTCAGGCTTGAATTACTAAATAGAAGATAATAAAAAAAAGAAAATTTTAAAAAAACATATAAGAGATGATTAAAGAAAAAAAACTAGTCTCTATAAGTACAAATAGTAGAGCTAACAAAGAAAAAAACAGTAAACCTAAAGCTTATCAAAGTCAAAACACACTTCAATAATTCTTATAATGAAGAAGTAGATGCCTTAGCCAAAGCAGCTTTAAACTTTTATTAATCAAATAGAGAGATTTTAACTTCTATAAGATTATTATAAAGATTGGGTGGCAAAACAAGACCTTAGATAACTCAATTAGGCAGTTCATCAAAAATATGAATAACAAAACAATAGTCTGTTAATAGACTTAGCAAAATTGAATAGAAAAAAATAGAACTAACAGATTTTAGAACAGTAAGTGCATACGTGAGATTTAATATAAGAAAGAATAAAAAATAGACATACATAGAATATATCCTTTAAAAATTTTTAACAAAAAAGCTTTCTTATTAAACTAATCAATAATAAACTATCAATATTATATAAATAACTATAAGAAGATCTAATATATATAAGCAAGTAAAGTGTATTATACAGTATGTAGTCAATAGAATGAAACAATAGAATACTTGTTAGAATGCCCAGCCTATAATAATTAACTTCAAGAAGTATAAAAAAAAGAATAGATAAAACTTTCAGAAACATTAAAGTGTTTCTATAAGAAAGAAGAAAGGAGGCAGAAAAAATAATAGATCAAATATTGATAATAAAAAAAAACTAGAAGAGTTAAACAAGTGAAATTCTAAACTAGTGGAACAGATTTCTATAACTAGTCAAAATATTCTAAGTTTTTGTACTGGTCCCATAAGAAAAGATCTCATTCTAGAGTTGATAGATCTAAAATATTATAGCAAATGTATATAAAATGAAGCTAAAAAAAGAATAATAAAGATACAAAAAAGAGTTTGCAATCAAATTCAAAAAAGAATTTGAACTACAAGATACAAAAAGATTATAGAATGGAAACAAACTCAGAAGATCAATAGAAAAGATAAGAAAAAAATATCTCTAATCTTTTTAGATTAGAAAACACCATTTTTAATAAAAAAAGAATTATTGCTGGAAAAAAAAAATTAGAAAATAAAAGTTTCAAGAAAATTTCATTAAAAGGAGTAGAGTATGAAATAAAGTAATTAAAATTCTAAGTCAAGTTTAATCAAAATATTAAAGAGTAATTTATAGTAGTAACTTGTAGACAATGAAATTAGCAGTTGAAAGATTTTTATCTAAACTACTAATGAAGTGATAAATTACTTTTGAAATTGTACTTAGAGTTTTAAGAAATTTAAAATAAAGACAAGTGAGCTAAGTAGAGATTTAGCTTTAGTGAAACATTTAATAATATAAAGTATATAAACATTTAATAAAAAATATATACCTAGTCTAACTAAAGATATAAAAAAAATTGGCTATTTATTTTTTTTAAATAAATTATAAAAAATATTTAATAAAAAATTTTTTTTAAAAAAATTTACTATAACTAGTATTGTATACAAGTTTTTTATTAAAAATTAACTTAACATTTGAAGAAAATGAATTCTTTTAAATAATATCAATCATTTTATACAAACTATATATTTTTATATACATGCAAATTAATGATAATCTATTACAGTTTGCCCTAGTTAGATCTATTACTACTTCATGAATGGATATACTTAACTAAAGATCAGATAGTTAATACATAGTCATCAATAGTGATACTAAGCTAGTTAGTAATGAGTTAAAATTTAATTATGAATACTAAACTAATTCTTTTTTTATATGTATCTAGTGGAATTGTACACCTTTCAATACTCTCAGATATAATTTGCTCAAATCTCAAAAGAAAGCATATCATTTTCTTTGTTATTACCTGTGATATCAAGTCAGTCTTTATTAACTAACTTTCAATTAAGTGAAATATCAGATTGAAATATTCTGAGCTAGAAGAGTAAGGTTCTAAAGACTGTTAAGGTAGGAGGGGATTATATAATATTTAGATAGTTATCATAGTTCTAAAAGTGGGGTCCTGGAATTTTAATTTTCTGTTCAGTTCAGGGAGATATTTAAGTATAAATTGTGTAATCAAATCAGAGGCTTTTTTTTATACAATCCTCGAGGTAGAACTATTTCAGTTTAATGATTAATGAGAAGGTTGAAAGTTCAATTCTTATACAACTTAATTATTTTCTTACATGGCTTTATATAGTATAGAACTCTGAATCTTGTGATTGTGATTTAGGAGTACTATTATTGTGTTGTAGACTCATAGATCATTTAATAAAAAATTTTTAATTGTAAAAAAATTTTTTTTTTGATATTGATAATAATATTTTAGTAAAAAAAACTCAATTAGTACCTAATTTAGTAAAATACATTTTATTTTTAAAATATAATAGTTTATATTTTTCAATATTTTACATTTAAAAATTTATAAATAGTTTATTATTATTATACTGTATATATAGTATTAATTTATATCAGAAGTATTAATAATAAAATTAGATATAATCAAATATAAAACAATCAGATATAATATAATTAGATTAAATTTGATGTATAATAAAATAAATTTGATTTTAAAAAATAAATTCAGTTTCAAACTCTAGTTTAAGATAAATAATATTAATTTATAATATAAAAAATATTTTTTGAAAATCTAGAATTCAGGAATAAAATAATTGTGATAACAAGATCATCAATATTAAGAACTTTAGGATTTTCGGAAAATGAATTTCTTGAGGTTAACAATGTATAGTTTACTTGATGTTTAATAAAGCCCATATAACTAATCTAATAGAAGACACCAATATTATATATATATAATTTTTTATTTTATTATGTAAACTAATTTTCAATTAATTATGTAAGCATATTTTTAATATTAAATTTTAGATACAGTATATTAAAAATTTATAATAAATTTGAACAAAAATTTGATACTGTATATAAATTGATGCTTTGTTTTTATTAAAATTTATAAATTACCGTATAATAATTTTCATTAAAATTTCTGTCATAGATAAAATTCGCAATGAATAAACAAATCAATAAATGGTAATTTTGTTTATCTGTAGCGATTTTATTTTATCAAGCGAATTTTTATTTATTAAATAAAAAGGTTAATGCACAGTAATTTAAAATATAGTAAACAGGATTAATTAATAGCATGTTATTTAATAAAACACTGGATTTGCAAATTAAAATGAAGGTCAAAAATTAAAAAAATTTTTTCATATAGATGTAGAGCTTAAATGTCAATAATAAAGAGGTAATTAAAATTTAATATTTAACAACTTTTTACGTTTAAAAAAAGTTTTGGGTTTTCGAAAACCTCTCTTTTATCGAATGTTGATCGCGTTTTATTATATGTAAAAAATAAGGATAGTTTTATTTTTTAAAAAATGAAGCAAGCGTCAAGATAATAATAATTATAACAATTTTTCAAGATCCAGATCTCAATTTTGCGAGATACTGTATACTGTAAGTGCATTTATCATTTTAAAAAAAACCCGATGCTCATAATTTTGTAAAAATACATACTTTTTGTAAAAATACATACTTTTATTACAATTTATTTAATAAAAGCATTTCTCGTATGTTGAAACAGAAAATAAAAATCCTACATATTAATTGTTTTAAGTGTAGTAATAACAAATAATAAAATTATTTGCACGACTACTATGTCTTGATCCCAAAGGAGATTTTCTTTTGAAAGGAAAGGAAAAAGTCGCAAATGCATTAGATTAATAGATAAATGATGATGACAATTAAACCGATCGGCATGCTTGGGGAAGGGTGAAGGTTCTTGGTGGCCGTATTTGATTTCGGTAGGGTGGGCCTATAGGGTGATGGGTTGTCGGGAGTGGCATATCTACATTATACAGTATGTCCCATGTACAGCGAATGTAAATTTGAGCACGAAATCAACCAAAATCAAAAACGCCGTAAAAAAAATTTATATGCAAACCCCAAGGTTTCCATGATTTTGGTGAGATTAGGACCTATTGCCCCGCCTGGCGCGTTTCCGTTTATTTTGATAAGTTCATCAAGACTAATGCCTTGTTCGGCCTTGTACACCATCAAAAAGTCAGGTGTGGACGAGTACGCTGTATCCACGTGAGTAATACTAGAACCAGCGGTAAAGATTAGTTTTGTTTCAAGGAAAACAGAACTAGAGCCGTTCGTCACGAACTTCATGGTGTATGGAGTTTGAGCTGCGACCAATAAATTGTTTCCGATCGCGTATTGCGAAGAGCTTACAAATGCATTTGAGAATGAGTCTACCGATGTGAACTTTTCTCCTGTGGACGTAAAATGGTCTATCCGTTGTGCTAGGGTCGTCATCTTTACCGTATCACCAAAGTCAGTCAATAGTATGTATCCATCGAAGGCCATTTCGACAAAGCCCGTGTATGTGACAGGTTGATTCACATCTGTAATGTCATCCAAAAACTGAGGGTATGGAGTCAAGGCCAAAACTTCAGGAAGATAACTGATCAGGGGCGACACCGCGAAAAACGAATAAATCTCAGATGTTCAAAACAAAAATTGATAAGCAAAACACCGAAATATTTACTTTCTCCAACCAGAAATGAATCCCAGGCCATGTATATACTCATGAGTGACGATGTATTCGAAATCATATTGGTCGAGTTGTATCGCGGAATCACCTTTGAAAAATAAGTTGGCCGAGGAACTAAACAATGCCGTAATGTCGTATGTTTCAAATTCCGGATGTGCAGGAAACTGCATCTGCTTTACCAGGGCTTGGGGATAATATCTAATTGTGCCATCGTTGTCTTGCAGCGGAATTGCCCGAGAAGGACTTGCAGCTCCTTTGTGGGATAATTGAAATCAAAAGTTTGGTGAAATCTCACAAACAAGAGATCTGTGTAAATCATGTGATATTTGTATTTACCGAGAATATTGGCAGACAAATCCGTGAAAGAGGCATTTACCCTTACAGGTGTATTAAATTGAATAACCGAAGCAATTCTTTGACCAGCCGATATAAATGCATTCTTGGCTTTTTCACACCGGATTGAGTCGCTGGAACCACAGTGAAAATCAATTATGAATGCATCGGTGGGTGATAAAAATCCCGTTGAGTTTGCCACAAAATTATCATAATCTTTATTTTTAACGATATCGCATCTAACCTTTGTGGGCTTGCGGGAAAATGGATCGGGATAGTTGTGACATTCAAGTGCGTCAATTTGTCTCGAGATGAAACCGATGATGACGACAAAAAGTCGGAAAGAAATCGATTTGATTACATACATGATCCCGAAAAGATCTCGTGCGTATACACCAAGTACTGTATATTCCTGCTACGAGATGATCACGAGAACATTCAAACCTTTTTCTTTCTGGCCCAGCAAATCAGCACGAATTTAATTAATCTTTAGCTATAAAAATTGAAGTAGTGTATGTTATAACTTTTTTTCATAAAAGTTCGTTGAACGTGTAATGTAAATACTTTTTAATACGGAAATGTGGTTCCGTTTTCTTATCTCATTGCAATGAAATGGGTTATTCGAAACAAGGGGTATTTAATTTCGAATACGAAAATTATTTCTTTTATATGTATATTAAATGAATATGATCTCTAGCTATAATAATAGTCAATATGGGCACGTTAATCTAAAATGAAGGTCGATCATCCCTAAACCTAATCAGCAAGGCTCAGAAATATAACATTCTCTTTTCAAACATGCTCGATCGCTGGCTACCTATAAATAAAAGAACACTCCAGCAAACTGTCGTATCATGTCCATATATCAATTTCATAAAAATCTCAGTCTGCGACACGCTGCTGTATCCGATCGGTTTTCTTTTTCGGATGTATTTCAGATTTTCTTGATGAAAGGGATTCAATATTTTGCATTTGACTCGTTGAAAATACAAAAACCTTAACTATTTTCATCCCGATATACAAAAATCGATAAACTTTGTCGCTTCACAATCAAGCACTAATTAGTGAACTTGATCCGTCGAAATTTCGGGCATAGTCAGAAGATTAAATAAGAGTTAGCGTAAAAGGTGAATGCTCCTATAGAACCATCCACTTTCTATGCATGCAACTTTCACAAGATATTTCTATTTGTGCATGCAAAAGTCAATATGAGAAAGTGGATTGAATTTTGGGGGTATGCACAAACCCACTCCGAGGTAGCATTTATTAGGTAATGTGCCTGACATGAGTAACTTTAAAAAAGAGTCACGATATCCCAATGATTAGATGTATGATTTAATAAGTATTGTATGCGAAATAGTTTGTTCTCCATTACGTATATGATATGATGACCAATGCTATTATATTATCGAACATACTGTATGAAAAAGTTGTGAGCACAAAATGCTTGTGCGCATGGATGTCGTGTCGATTTGGATCTCACGGTAAGTGAGAAAACAAAGTGAGAAAACAAAGAGAACCCCACTGCTCGCGTCTAGCGTGATCATCCATTTACATACTCAAGTAAATTATCGACTATAACTTGCACTTCGTTTGAGATATGCCAGGGATCATCAGGTCCATTAGACGAGAATCTGTTGGAAAATTCCTCGGCATTTAAAAAAAAAAGGAAGAAAATTAATAAAAATTAAAAAAAAAATAAATTTATGCCTACCTTCGCAGCTGAGAACATCCGAAAAATTCATAAGTCGACTTGTGTAGACAGCTTGCGGATGCGTTTCACTTTCGATTGATAAAGTAGGAATTATTTCGTCAGCTTTGTCAAATTCTTTTTTGACCGCCAGCTCCTCTTGATTCAGCTTTGACTCTCCAAATAGTATGCGATAAAGTTTTTCTAACTCCTTAAAAATAGTTGTCGCGTCTGGTCGCAATAACGGATTGGCATCCATGCATCGATTGGCCAATTCCATGTAGCATTTTGGTGTACCTTCGGCAAAATCTGGTCGCAAACCGTCAATCACTATCTTTATGGCAAGATCCAAGTTGTGCGAACAATCACCATAAGGTGGTTTCCCTGTCGACATCTCAACCATGATGACACCAAAACTGTAAATGTCTGCGGCCTTGGTATATGGTTGTCCGGATAAGACTTCCGGTGCGACGTAAGGTAAGACACCGTGGAAACTTCCTTTGGGACTATTCTCGTCGATCTTTTTTGACAAGCCTAAATCAGAAATCACCGAATAAACGCTATAATTGCCAACCTGCAGTATATTTCCGCTGTGAAGATCCCGATGCAGGAACCCAGCATAGTGAATACTGTGAAGGTCGAAGGCGATGTTTAAAAGATAAGACAGTTTTTTCTTTTTCCACGTGAGCTTGGTAAAATTTTGTGATAAATAGCTTCGAAGGTCACCGTGCTGAGCGTACTCAAAGATCATAAAGTATTCCCCGTTTTCTCCATTCTGCGTAATTCCATATAGCTTTAAAACTTTCCCGGATATTTGGCACTGACAATGATTTTTAAACTTGTAAGAAGAGCAGAATACATGCGTATCAAATAAATAAAGGTCGCATCTTGTATAAAGTTCGTAAAATAATAATACATAGTAATAATAATGATACGTAATACATAGTAATAGCAATAATAAATTACCTCTTGCAAGAATTGGTTGGAATCACTCTTTAAGCTCTTGAGAGCGACAGTACACATTTCGTTGTGACGTTTTTCAGATTTAAATTCTGGTCTCACTCCACCGATCCAAGTGGCCGAATACACCTTGCTAAAACCCCCTTCGCCGACCATTTTGATGTCTTTGAATTTACTGAAGGGTATCCATTCTATCACCTTTCCGTATGACGTAACACTATGCTGAATTGCTTTAATAAAATTATCCAACTCTCTATTCCCGCTCATCAGTCCCTGATTTATTATTATTGGATCACATGATTGGCACCACCCAAAATTGGTGCAAAACCGTTTGCAGTGTAAGCAAATTCCATAAATTTCGGATCTCTCCCTCACAAATTTATCCTCTGCGCTCGATTGAACGATTATGCTAGTTTTTACTTTCGAATTTATGAGACGACTCGAGTAAATCGCCTGCGGGTGGATTTCCCTTTTTACCGACAAAGTGGGAATTATTTCATCCGCTTGTTCGAATTCTAACGCCTCATGACTTAACGTTGACTTGGAAAGCGGTGGGAGAAGGACGTCGGAGCTCACTAGGAGGTCAAAAAGTTTATCTAGTTCGCAATACATGCCAAATGCGCTTGGTCGCGCCAACGGATTTGAATTCATGCATCTGTTGGCCAATTCCATGTAGCATTTCGGTGTGCCTTGAGCAAATTCTGGGCGAGAGCCTTTACATATTTTTGAGGTAAGATAAGAATTATGGGGAAGATTATCATACGGAGGATTTCCTGTGGACATCTCAACCATTATCACGCCAAATCTGTAGATGTCTGCAGCTTTCGTATAATGCTGCCCACACAGTACCTCAGGTGCAATGTAAGGCAATACGCCGTAAACCTCACCGCCACCGGAATCTTTGACCGACCCCAAATTTGAAATTACTGAATGCACGTTGGTTTCACCAGCTTGCAATATATTATTACTGTGAAGATTACAATGTACAAACCCAGCGCTGTGAAGGTCATGTAAGTTAATGGCGATGTCACAAAGGATGGTCAATTTGTCTTTCCACATGAGTCTATTGAAATTTGATGACAGATAATTTCGGAGGTTTCCACGCTGAACATATTCGAAAACTAAAAAGTATTCCCCGGTCACTTTATTTTCGGTGACTCCATAGAGTCTCAACCCTTTCTCAATTTTATGATCTTGAAGATATATGTGAAATTCGCAAAGATTTTTTAACTTTAAAAAACAACTTACGATTAGAATTTTACGAATTTCTACAAAAGGAATTGTCAACGAAACATCCTTTTACCTTTTGCAAAAACTGATCAGACTTACTCCCCAAACATTTGAGAGCAACTTTGCTCTTTTGCCGGCGATAATTCTTGTACAAATTGGTTTCCCTTATCCCGTCAACCCAGATCGCCGAGTATACGGTGCTAGAACTTTTCCCTATTTTTCTTATAGTTTTTAATTTGGTGAAAGGTATCCACTCGATTGCATTGCGATAGGCTTTGACCTTGCGTTGGGTTTTATTAATTAACCTATTAACTCTTTATTTCCACTCATCGGTCCTCTGTTCACCTTCGGAGGGTCACACGATTGACACCACCCGAGACTTGTAAAGGGTAGTCCGCAGTACGGGCAGATCATATTCTTCTTCAACATTTTTACCTATGAATCCATCCATCTTATCGTCTTCCGGAGTTTTTCTTTTTTATCTGTTTATTTATTTATTTTATTTTTTTTTACTTTGTTTTTCAGATGGTTTTTTGGTGCTTCTTCGTTAACGTATAAAGGACAATTAGGTAAGTCTTGTCTATTTATCTATTTTGGTCAAGTTAATTTCCGAATGAAACTACGCATGTCCTAATTTGACAGCGTCAATCACAGATATAAAAAATTCCAAATGGGCCTGATGAAGCAATCATTTTTACAATCACTCGTTCTGCGACATTGTAATGCGCGTCCAGAGAAACTGGAATTACGTTCGTTGATGAATGTGATAATGGAACGGTCCGGGATGACGGATCAACAAATATGATGTGTGGTACGTTGGTTTGGACAAAAGGGTATATCATTGAAAGGATAAGGTTGGAAACGAGTGGAATGCATTGTGTGAAGTTGTCAAGACAAATTGATCACTAAGCTGCAAGTAAACTCAATTGCAACATTTTACGGGTGCATCGGAAGACCGGGAAACAATAGCACAATCTCGACGAATAAATCATTTGTATTAAAACAATACCCGAATCCTCGCGTGTAGATCCTAACACATAAGGTTATTCTTAACAATGATTTGACTAGCACTTATTATCACAAAAGAAAAATAAGTTATCAATTTTGCTTGCATATTTAGACGCAATGTCAAAAAAAACCAGTTTTTAGTGATACGAGAAGGTAAAGTGTGACATGTTGCACACGACTACCGCATTACCGAATACTTATCTTATCCGATAAATGATATACTATATGTTGACATGTCGCATAAAGATTTTATATGTGCGTCGATTGTTCGAAAATAAGGCATAATTCAAATTTAATTATTATCTTGGTTTTGTTTTTTACTTAAAAAAATATGAATTCCAAATTTTACGCTTAAATTATCTATCAAATTTTTCACAATCTATAAAATATATAACGGAATTTTTCTTCTTTTTTTTTTTTTTTAAAAAAAAAATTATGTACGCATTTAATGGGAATTGTAAGCATTTATTATTCTCATTTCTATTTATTTTTACAAACTACAATGTAATAATTGCATTTATCAAAATGCAATGTGTAAAACTTATGAAAAAAAAATAGAACAATAAACGTCATCCATGTTCGATCATTAAAGATGGATCGTGAATAAGTTGATTAGAAAAGATCAAGAAGCTTTTGTGAATAAAATGAAAATTTCAATATTCATCAATAGTTGTTATATGATCCGACCGTCGAATTAAAAGGAAAAAGCAAAAAAGAAGCAAATTACATGAAATTTTATTAAATTATTAATTTTTACAAACTACCCGTTTTTTCTCTAAAAATATTTTTTAACGTTCTATTTTCTACAATTCAATTGCATCAATTCATTTCATAAACTTGAGAGTTTTTTAAATTTGATAAATTTAATCCGGATTAAATTCATATGGACTCCCTCGAATACGGTATGCGCAGTACGCATGTCACGCGCAATATATTATCGTGCCAGTACCGCATAAGATTGAATTTGGATACGTATTAAGATTAAATACGCATTAGGATTACTGTATAGAAATCGTTATGCTCCTCGGATATTCGTGTAACATTAATATATATATATATATATATATATTATGTAACTTTCGCTTTTTTTTTTTTTTTTTTTTTTGTTAGACTTCTAATTTAACTCTAACTTACCGGTAGACTTAACCTTAACATCATCAATGTTCCTCGATTCCGAATAAAGTTATGCCGATCAAAACTCGAAATCTCGTTCACTTCTTCCTTCTATTCGTCATTTCTTCTATTGCCTTCGCCTTCGAATTAGACTTTGATGACCAGGATTCAAAGTTCTCCGATGAAAACATTTCAAATTTGTTGAACAACAAAATCAAGGCCATCAAGGCCTCGAACGATTCCTTGCTTTGGGGAACCTACCGACCAAATCTATATTTTGGCACCAGACCGAGATTGCCCGAAAGTTTGATGACAGGGTTAATATGGTTTGGAGTGAATGATTATAAAAGTTTTTCGAGTATGCGTTAGATTTTTTTTTATGCGACGCTTAAATTTAGAAACCCTGTTGACTCGTGATTTCAAAAAAAATTTTTTTCTCCCGCTAGAAACGAGGCATGCGTGTGATCAATCGGACGAATTGGATGAATATAGCTATAAAAAGCATGATGGCCGTTCCTTCGCCATGCAGACGATCACCGACATGAAAAACAATGTTTTGTTGAAGACCAATTTTTTAAAAGTACCCGGTGGCGAAAATGGTATCTCTTTGAATAGAAAAGATTTATTTGAATGCTTCACTTACTTCACAAAGCTCTGAGGGTTTAATTGCAAAGTTTCACGCGACCTAAGCTTGCGCATAATGATTAGTCATGATGTTATCACACAATTGCAATGGCGAAACCCGATGACTCATTGTAGACAAAGAATCAAAGATTTCCAGAATGCCTTTTAATAACAACCATACTTCATTGTGATAGGTGGTGATTGGGCCGTTCGCATAACCGGAGAACCAATTTCAAAAGGTATTGTTCGTCAGAGGAACAACGTGAAAATCATAGTAGCTTATCATTAATTGAAAGTACAGCAGGCTAACCCTTCCTGTTTTGGTGGCGTGCTTTTGACAGAGGCTTCTTCGGCAATATCATTCCTGTACTATTTCGGGTTAGAAGGGGAAGGTTCCTTGGATATGGTGAATTACCCGGACAAATCGGTAATTTTATTTGAAAAGATGATAGTTGACAAGCGACATGATTGTTCTTTTAGATCTTGATCTCAGTGAAATGAGACGATAATTGTGCTGATGAGTTAAAGGGTTGTGTTGATAGGGATTATCGGGTCCCGTTGAATTCATCGGAGAAACTCCTGAACTTGGGAAATTTCGTATCAGGGTTGTCGAAGGTTGATTTCAATTCACGTTTTTCCTTTTACTTTGGAAAATCGTCGATTCATTGTATTATATATGCTCCTCAATTAGATTCATCTAATACGTTGCCGAGGAGTGTAACGCCGATTGATTTAAATAGGTATTCAAATGATTTAAAAAAATTTCAGTACTGGGGGCATTTGGTACCTGACGGTGAAGTTTGGCGAGCTAAAGGTAGATGTTATGTGTAACCAATTTTAATAATGCAATATCTGATTCCGTGTTAATGATTCAGTCTTTCTTTTAACATAAATTTTCTTTCTTTTTACCACGGACGATCAAACGAAAGATTATTTAAATGTCATATTTGCAACAAAGTCACGAAATTTTCTGTCTTCGCCAGAAAGTGGCGGCTATCCACCACCACCCTTTTTGTTTGCGTTGGACAACGAAGTTGGCGAAAACTCAAACTTCTTTTTCGTTCAAAAAATGGTCGAGACTCCTTTTCAGGTCACTTTCTTTTCCCCCTTATGCCGAGTTTCCTTATTCCGAGATATTCACCCTTCTCGGAACTTTCTATTCACCTGCTTTTTTATCTTTATTAGTTTGATATCTTTTTCGAATCCGACTCGTCACCTACGCATATTAAAGGTAAAACTGACTTGACGTCCCTTGATGTTCAACTCGTAAATATCTATTCCCTGCATTCACCGTGGCTCTTCAGATTTGACCAAGAGCTTGGCGGAAAGTTCTCTGGATTTTGACTTGAAATTCGAAAGATTATTTGGGTTATCGGCAAGAGGATTCGATAAAGATCAAATATATTTTGCTCAGACTATGATGAGCAATTTGATCGGTGGTATCGGGTATGATTTACCCATTCATTCATTCGATCCATGGATTATGAATCACACACCTGACCGTATTCCAATTTTTTATAAAGATACTTCTACGGGTCAAGCATTGTTGACAGGTCGTATGTTGAGGATGTTGACGAGGATGAGGAAAACTTTTGGGACAAGAAGAGGGAACCCGATCCTCAATTAACTCCCCCAGCATCGTTATTTACGGCAACACCATCAAGACCGTTCTTCCCCCGGGGATTTTATTGGTAATCTCTAATTTGATATGCATTATGAGCATTACAGTATTTAATATGGCCATAATAATTGATACAGGGATGAAGGATTTCATCAACTTCTAATCGGAGCCTGGGATAATGATCTAAGGTATTCATCGATTGAATATCTCTTGCATGAAACAAGAGAAAGATATATATTGTTATTAATACACCATGTAATATACCACAGTCTAGATATTACAAGATATTGGACGTCACTAATCGACAATGATGGCTGGGTGGCGCGTGAACAGATTTTGGGTGAAGAAGCAAGAAGCAAGGTATTATAACCAAATCATTAAAGTTGGCATTTTGAATTTGTTTATTCACCTAAACTCGACCTCTTACCTTTGTTATAGGTTCCAGAGGAATTTCAGACACAGTATCCTCATTACGCGAACCCTCCCGTATTATTAATGTCTATTAGCGAGTTCATCGAAAGGTTGGATGCTGCCTTCAATTCAAACCAATTTAATATCGAAGGTTATTACACTTAGATCCATGCATAAAAATGAATAACCTTTGGGACTCACTCATCCTAATATAAATTTCACTGCCATCTTCATAATATTTATAGTTAATCCTGATCAAATAATGGTTGGTCAACTATCCTCCACAAATGATCCTGAAGCCCTATCCAGTCGTCATTTATACGACGTTGATCTTGCAAAAATTTATCTGGCAGATATTTATCCTAAATTTCGCGCTAATTATAAATGGTTTAGAAGGACTCAATGGGGTGAGATTAAAGGGTGGGGACGAAAGGCCTCTAATAATAAAGAAGCTTACAGGTGGCGCGGTAGAACACCCGGACATACATTAACCTCGGGTGAGAAATACTTTATGATAGGAACAGGCGACATTTGAGTCCTGGTTGATCTTAATCATTAATGCGCTTCTGGAAATCTCTATTTGTTGACACTAAGGGTTGGACGATTACCCTAGACCTAAACCACATCCCGCTGAATTGCACGTGGATCTGATGTGTTGGGTCGGGTTCATGGCGAGATCCCTTGCTGACATTGCTAAAAGGTTGGACAAAGAGGATGACGCAGAAGACTTTGCTAAACAGTATAAAAACATATTGGCTAATTTAGATGGTAAGTTTGATGCGCATTTGAGCAACCGCTTGTGGTTCGATATCGGGTTCAGTGATTCTTTCCAACAGATCTACATTGGAGTGAGGAACATAAGGCTTATTGTGATCTATCTGTCGACGAAAATGGTAATCACAAACTCATCTTTGGTTTCCTACATTATCATTTCTAATTGACTCTAAATTACATCAGATGAATCCATTCATGTCTGCCACAAGGGATATCTATCATTGTTTCCAATGTTGCTTGGCTTTTTACCGAACAATTCGACGAAGTTCGGCGCAATATTGGATATGATGCATGACCCCGAAGAGTTGTGGTCACCGTATCCTTAACGTGCATTTTTCTTACACGTTAACAACCGGTCAATTGTTGATATTTACTTTACAATGTTATCATCATAACTTCGAATTTCGCATAATTTGTGCACCTGCCATTGTAGATATGGATTAAGGTCATTATCAAAGTCCGATGGATACTTTGATACGGGAGAAAATTACTGGGTAGGACCTGTTTGGATAAACATCAATTATCTCGCACTGTCATCTTTGTATAAGGTAGGATTTACTTACAATGTTATCGAGTCAGAATTGTACCTTTCTTTTGCCTGTGATAAGTATATGCATATATGTTGCTAATCACTTGTTCTGCTTTTTTTAATCCTCAAATAGAACTATATATCAAATCCCGGGCCATATCAATCAAAAGCGAAGATCATATACAAAGAATTGCGAGATAATATAATAAATAATGTTTATAAGGTAAGCTGCTATCACTCAATCTCCTTTTGCAAAGATATATGTCCTTCTTTTGCCAATTACAAATAAATCTGTTTTCTTCACAAGGAATTTGACAGGACAGGATATGTGTGGGAACAGTATTCTTCTATCAATGGGGAAGGGAAAAGAAGGTAAATTTATTCGAGACGAAAAATCACCAAAATTCACGCTTGCTCACGCCAACTATTTCTTCTGCATTCATCAGTCACCCATTTACAGGATGGACTTCCCTGGTGCTGTTAATTATGGCAGAAAAATATTGAATATTCTTTTGTTGTGTGATGATAACTCGTGATGAGTATCGTCGTTGGAGTTTTGTTAACAAAAACAAGAATAAAAAATTGTTTCTTTTAATGTTTCGATGTGTATTTCCCGATCATAAAATTTCTACGTCTCTTAAAGAAATAGTCAAATAAAGGTGTTTGCTAAAGGATGAATGATCGTATTGTTATCAATAATCGATGTATCAAGCTATTTGGGATCATCATTGCCTATTGTGAAATTCAAAATTTCTACCAAAGGAAAATAAACAGATTTTCTTAAAAAATGCATCCGGCGGCTCTATATTCAGAAAAGATCGCGAAATTTAAGGAACAACATATGTTACATTTTTGAAAACTAGATTATACACGGTCAATAAATAACTGCGACAAAACTCTTGCCAGCGGTTAATTATGTGACACCACAGAGAATCTATTTCTTTGAAATAAGGGTATGCTGTAAAAAATAGACGCGCAAAACGAAGCTCTTATGTTAGTCTATTGTAAATATTTAGTCGTTTTATTATATTAAATAGTCAAATGATTTCTCCTTCGGATGAACAGGAAGAACTAGTGTATGTATGGTCAGATAATGTTAATTCATTCTCCTCTGTTGCATTAACAACTTCATTTCCACTATCGCTATCTATTCCCATGTCCGTTCCAGTTCCACTACTAACACTGTCCTCAAGTTCGCCATGCACACCATTATTTCCCAAATCAAATCCATCATCTTTGCTATAAATGTCCTTGTGGTCACCATTGTTCTTTTGCTGTTGACGAAGTTCTCGCCTTACAGTCTCCCTTCCTTTCTGAATTGCGCGTTCTATTCGAAGGCGATTTTCAATCATATGGAGTTTTGGCCAGGTGACGCGTTGACCGATCTGAATCATCCTATTCAGGCGCACGTTATCAGGGTCCGAAACAATGTAGAAAAAGTCCAGGATGGTAGTCTTGGGCCAAATGGTAATGTTCCCTTCGAATTTCTGCAACCAAATTGAGCTCCAATCTTGATCCGCTATTCTTGGCAAAAGTTCGAGATCACGTATCCACTTTAGCCATTTGCTAAGATCCAATTTCAGGTATTGTTCTGTGCTGGCGAACAGGAATCCACCTCGCCAACCTTTTCCTTGTCGATGTGTCACCGGGCGACCAATTGAACCACGTGGCGCGTAAAAGAACAAATGCACGTGCGGGTTGACTTGAGAGACGATGGTGTTTTTGACATTAAAGTGCATATTAAGCTGTTGAATGGGAATATCCGTTCGGAGGGATCCATCTTTCCATTTGTGACCATAATTGTAAGGTATTATGGTGCCATCTTTTAACTTTTGCATCAGCACAACGGGATTCAAAAAGCCGGGTACGGCTGCACTTGCGATTACTAAGGAATTCGACGTTCAAGAATTAAGAAAAAGGTATGATTTCACTCTTCCTAGCGGATATAGAAGAACATACCTGCGGACCAAATTACGCAATCAGGTGCAGTAATGTAGTTTAAAACTTTTGGCGGTGAATGAGGATCATAAGGTATCACTGATATATTTAAAATCCTGCCCGTCCTTTCGTACGCTTCTCTGAATGTCAAGCTCCCCTTCGTTATCCACTGAGACTTCCTAGCCCAATCACACGAATCAAATCTTGCACCGGTATTCCACCATCTCGGGAACCAAACGTTAAACGGGTCAGAGCATGCTCTGAGCCGTGTGTGCAACTCCGGTGTCAGAACTTGTTTCAGCTCCTCATCAGTTCTCACGCAGACTAACGCTGCAATCAAACCACCAGCACTAGTTCCCGTTAACACTGTTGGGAGTAGGTTGGCTTCGAAAAGAGCTTTGACAACTCCTAAATGGAAATAACCAAAACTGGCACCACCACTGAGACACAATGCCGTCCTTCCAAAGTTATCATCCGCATTTTTAAAAAGTTTCCGCTTTTCCTTGCTAGACAGCATTTTGGTTGTACGTACTAGTTCTAGAGACTCCGTTACTAGTAAAAGCGCGAAGGTGCTCATTAGCGACTTCTAGATGGCTTGGTCACGAAAAAAAAAAAGGTAAGCCCTCGTTGGTCAAAGATCAACCTACCTTCATCAATATATTTTTCGACAATCTGTTTCGTTCCATAATACGTCTGAGAATACAGTCTGGTATTCTCGACACCGGCAAAATTATTTTTTACACAATTATGCAATGCATTTTTTAATTTTTGGACATTTATGTTCGGTTCGCTTCGTAAACGTTCTAGGTCGTGGTTGACTTTCTTGATCAAGTTATAATCATAGTATCTGAATTGCATTTCGTCCTTCCATTCGTTATACCCGAAATATGAATCCAGCTCATTGGCGGCAGAAATCCATTTTTTGTATGTGTTGGCTTGTCGAAGCTTTTCGCGTAACAGTCTTTTTGCGCCTCTCCTGTGCAAAATGAATTCAATACGTCAATAGGGAAATCGCATTTTCTTGGAGTTATCCTTTGCCACACAAAGTATGGGAAGAAAAAAAAATAATGATAGAATTCTGACGGTGCTGACAGATCCTGATGCATCTTTCAATTTATCATATTGCACAGCAAGAACAGGTTATGAAAATTATAGTTTATGCATTGCTATCTCACCATTGCACGAAATATTCCCAGATATTTACAATTTGCCGTACCAAAACGTAAAGGAGTAATTCGCAACCAATAATGAGAAATATTATGAGCTATCATAAAAAAGTTAAAGTATTAAAGAGTTAACATCATTAATAATATGATGATCATGATGATGCGATCTGGATTAGAACGACTTGAATAACACAAACATATAACAATGCTATTTCAACTAACCATCATCGGGAACCTAGCAACGTGGTATGAATATCCCTCAAATTCTCCTGGGCGATTTTTCTCCTTAATCTTTTGTCTTATTGGCATAAAGTCTGTCATAGCTGCAATGTGTTCTGTTGGATCCTTGTTAGGGTCCTCGGCGAGGGCCTTCGCGAATTCGCGAATGTGTTCTTCGTCAACATATTCAAGCTCGAATTCGTCTGGCACTGACTGTTGCATGCATTTTTCCGATTTTGTTGAAAGTTTGCTTTTTCTGTGGCTCGAAACCGAAGGCATGGTGGTAGTCAAGATGTCTCTATTCGTATGTCGAAATGATTTCTGTCGTTTTTAAAAATTCGAGGTAACAGGGGAACGGATCGGTGCAATGGCTTAGAAATCAGGTTAATGTAATTTATAGAAGTTGATTGTGTTCGAGGTGAATTCTAAAGTCTCGGATTTTTTTATCCCTATTTACTCGACAAGTTAGAAAGTATGGACTTGCAGGAGAGAAACCGGTTTATCTCAAGAATGATGCCTTTTATGAAAATAAGTAAATGCCTTCTCGCCCCATGTGAGTTTCATATGCGAAAATCCGTTGGGGTTTTTTTATTACATACGTGTTTATGCTGTTGCAAGCGGCGATCAATGATTGGTGGCCCGTGATAAATGAATATTATCTAAGCCGTCACGCAATAATGTATGTACATGCGCTATATATTGCGCACCGTGAAAACCCCAAAATTTTCAGCACGAGGGGATCGAGCGGTCCATTCAAAGTAAATTTCAATTTAGCCAATTATCAATTTCTTATCCACTATAATTAGGTTTTTCCCCAAAATCAGGTATTGTTATTCGTTCGACGCGGAGCTAATCCGAAATTGGAAACAAACAAAAATTGTCAGTTGCGCCCTGTAAACGAAATCGGGTCACGCCAAAAAAGCTTGAATATTTGACACAATAATATCTAAATTTTTTTCTTTTTCTTTTTCTTTTTTTCGACCTTTTCAATTTTTAGACCATTGTCAGATTGATGAAAAAAAAAAACAATGCATTTTTTTCCCAACAAACTTTATTAATGAAAATCCTGTTAATCTGTGGCTTTTTATCACCAAACGAGATCGTTTCCTAAAAAGAAAGGATGGTAAAAGATTTTTACGCTTAAATAATTGCCATAAAAATTTTTTTCTTTTAATTTGTATTGTCTGTTTGTCACCTAAACACGAACATGAAAAAAAAAAAAAAAATTAATAAAATTTACGAGTTAATAATATTAACGGATAACTTTGCATCATTGCTATTCGTTGTTATTAAAATTACCATTGTTAATGAAGATTACTATATATTATTATTATCATTATCTTTGTGTAATTATTAAAAAAATTATTATCGTAGTTATTATTAAAAATTATTATCATTATTATTTATTTTATTTAATTATCATTCTCAAAATTACCATTGTTATTAAAAATTATCGTTGTTATTATTGTCGTCGTTGTTATAGTTATTATGATATTATTGAAAATCAATTCAATTGGATTTTATGTTAAACCAAATACAGTATTTTTTGTTTTTTAAAAAATCCCTTAAAAACGAATTTCTTTGTTGGGTTTGTTTATGAAATTAATCTTCTTGCTCGACTCATTTCAACGTTTTATTTGAAATTTTCTAATGGTTTTCTAAAATTTTCGATTCGATTAAATCGAACTTTCATATAAAATCAATAGCAAATTATTAAAAAAAAGAAAAAAAGAAAGAAAAATTTTAACAACTTTAACTTATCTAATAAATTGAAAAAAAATGTTAAATATTATTTTAGATATTCATTAAACAAGATCTTTTGATATGAAAGTAAAAACGAAAAAAGAAGTCAATTGTCCCATTAATTTTGATGTAAATTAAAGTTATACTTGACAATAAATCAAAGCAACTCTTTATTTCTTTTTATTCTTTATTTTATTTTATTATTTAATCGACCTGATATGTCTTTATTAAGATATTAAATAAACATTTATAATATTTCATTGACTATTTATTAGTGATTACAACTAATTGAATTGAATCAGATTTTAATTAAATTTGATATGATCCGATTTTTATAAATACGAATCAGATTTGGATTTGATTCATTTTGAATTAATTTGGTTCAATCTAAATCCAATTCAATTTAAATCAATTCAAATCTGTTTCATATCATATTCAATTTGTAACTGCTTTAATTTAACTTAGTTAAATGATTTATTTTAATAAAAAAAAATTCAACTAATATATTTACTTTCAAAAATAATTTTTGGCTTTAAATTCATGTATGTATTTAAATTTTTTAAAATATTTTTTAACTTTACATTCAAAAATTTTATTTTATTAAATTTAAATTAATATATTTATTCTATTTATGATCAATTAGTTGATTTTATATTAATATACTTCCTACTATAGTTAATACTTCCTACTATAACTTTATTTTATTTTCTATATCATTTTTTTTTTTTACCAATATTTAAAGTACTTTTAAAACATGTTAATTTATCAACAATTGATTATATCAGCAATTCATATAATATTCTTTTTTTTTTTTTTTTTTTTATCTTTTTTTCATTTTTTTATAATAGATATTATTATTTTACTGTAAATCAAGTTTTGAAACAATTCACAAGTTATAAATTCTATTTATAAATCTGTAATATCATGTAATTCATTTTTTAACTAGCAGCAAAAAGTATTTTTTAATAAAAAATTACAATAATTTTAATTATAAATAACTTAAATTTTCAATAGTTTGTAATATTTAAAAAGTATTCATTTTTTTTTTAACCCGCAGTCAAGTTAGCATAGTATGTCTTTATTATATATACTGTATACAAAGATATTTATAAGATATTTTGACTTTCACATACTAACTCATCTATTATCAAAAAACTATTTCTCTAGATATAACATAGGGAATAATATTTTGCTTCTTTACTAATTTGGATAAATTCTCTAATTAATAAAATCATTGTCTATAAGTCATTATTGTAAATTATTCTAAATTCTGTCTACAGTTAAAAACCAAGTCATTTATCACTATAATAAATCCAACCCTTAATCATTTCCATATACTTCTTTCCCTCCTTTTTTTCAAAAGCTTCTTTCTCCAGGTCTTCTAAGGATGTTGAAGATTCTTTCTGCTCTTATGCAATCTGTGCATTGGATCTATACCCAGGTCATTTAAATCTTTTATTCTTTTCAATAATAATCTATCTCTTTTTTTACTCTATTATTTTAGTGCAGCAACTATTTCAAATATCCTCTTTGAAGTTTTTTCTTATTTTATGACAAAGCTTATTGATTATACTTTGTGTAAATACTAGAGAAATTTTGAATTGTGCTTTAAGATAATTCTTTAAAAAGATGGTTTTGTTTTCTTCTATATATCCACAAATAGTATTAAAAAAGTTTCTATTAGATTGTTGAATCTTGTTTAACTATTTATTTGTTCAATTATTAGTAGTAAAGTGAACTTCTTTCTTATTTTTAATTTCTTTATGGATATATTGATTAATTTTTTCTTTTGCTTTTTGCCATATATCTTCTCTAGCTTCTTTGATAGTTGAATATTTGAAAAGGTGTTCTAATATCTCTTCTTGAAGTTCACATACTGGGCAAGTTATTATAGTTTAAATATCTGATTTTCTTTTTTTGAGTATCTGTAGTATTGAAAGTTTATTATGGATTAAGTTAGTTAGAAAGCTTTTGTCTTTATTAGCTTTGAAGAAGGTATCGAATGTGTTGAATATATTGAATTGATTCCAGAAGATTAATCAATCTATTATTTTATCTTTTTGAATCTACAGCTCTTGAATTCTTTTCTATACTGTCCAATCTTTCCTGATTATTTTTCTGTTAAATATTTTAATAAATTTTCTAATACTAATCTTTATTATATATTTACTTCATATAGCTATTATAAAGACTTTTTCTAACTCTAGTAGTTGATTCCAGATTATCAAATTCTCGTATCTAGCTTGTTTAGCAAGTAGGTCTACCTGATTATTGAACTTATTGGTTTCATAAGCTGTGACCTTTGTAATTTCCAAGATAAAATCTTTCTTTTTTACTAGACCTTTGATCTTACTCCAAATTGGTCAGTTGATAATCTTTATTTATCTCCTTATTAATATCTCTGTTTATAAACTGATAGATTTCCATATTTTAACTACAATATTACAATCAATGAAGAATAAGACTGTTGTATTTTGAGGAGCAGTGAATAGTGCTATAAGAATAACCAATATTTCTGCCCTAGTTGCTGATGACAATGTTGGTGCCCCTACTAAAAATTGTTTTTCAACTTTGCCATTCTTTATTAGAATCTAAGCAAAACCCATTTCAAATTTACTATCTTTGTTCATTTTTTATAGAAGCCATCTGTGTAAAAAGTGAACTAATTAGCCATATTCCTTATATTGTATTGCAGAATATCTGTAAGTTCCTCTATATATTTATCTGATTAGATGGCTTGTTTTATTAGCACAGTTTCCCAGTTTTCTATCTGGATTTCTACTTTTACAGATCTAAAAATAAGTGAAATTAATATTTGTTGCCTTGTAGTTATTTGCCAGCCCATAGAATTGCCTGACAGAAGAACTTGTTTTCCTTTTCTCAGATTTTCATGTTTATTTAGTTGTAAAAGGAGATGGATTTATAATAAAACTATTTCTAATACTTGAGATGATTTATCTAATTGAAGTAGGATATGGTTTCTAGTAGAATCATATAATAACTGATATAGAATAAACTGGATTTTGTTGTTTAAAAATGACATTTTTCCTAATATATTAGTTGAAAAGCTGAAGTGAACTGTCCAATATATTTTTCTCTTATCTGAATATACTGCAAAAGTTTCAGTATGCATGTTGTAGTCTGTTCAATTTAGTCTATATGATGATTTTCTTAAGTGATCTTAATTCTCTGTCACCTTTTTACAAATTTTTTTATATCAAGAGAGACTGGTTCTTTGCACTTTCTAAAAAGAATCTGGATTGCTCTTCATTCCTTGAGTATCATTGTGATTGTATTAATAATTTAATCCAGTAATATAATTTTATACTTACGTAGTGATATAATGACTTTTTCATATTTTCTATTATTTTGTAGGATTGACTTGATAGATAGGATACCTTAATGATAATTAAAGATTTTCTTCTATCTTCAATTTTGAAATGTAATCTATAGGTTTTTGGTCAGGGCCAATGTTGCAACTATCATATTGCCTTTGATCAGCTTTTATGAGTTTACAAGATTATTGAAGATATTCC